ACAAATATTTAAGGATCAATTTAAAATGAGAATCATTGTTTGGGGACATACGATGTAATTAAATCATCATTATATAAAATTAAAAAAGTAAAAAAAAATATTCCTTATAAACCTATATACTTTAAGTTGGTTTAGATATTTTTAATTTGGATCAAGCAAATATAATGCTAAAATTGAATCATAATCAAGCAATCAATTTGAACCAAGTTTTAGAAATAAAATATCAAAATTGTAGCATAAAATAGGGATGTGGAACATCTACCCCATGGGGTGTTCCCATCAATACCACAAAAGGTTGATATATTAATAAAATATTTTTTTTGTGGATTGACATTATGTTTTCCTCCAATTAAATTCCAATTTATTGGAAACCTATACAACCTCTAATGATATACCAGTAAGAAAAGACAAAGAGAGAGGCTAATAAACCCACTTTTTTAAGTTAAAAGCCAACCTCATAAAGTAATCAAAGTTTTAATATAACACAAATATCTAAGGTTTAATATATTTTATTTTTGGAATTTTAATGTATCTTTTATATATATATGGGCAAGATCTAATTACACCCAGAGTAAAACTTAGCTTTATACTTTTTTAGAACCAATGAGGGAAGTCAAAGGTCGAGATTAATCATAAGAAATGAGAAGATATTCATTGGAAAATAAAAATAATGAGTTAATCTCAACCTTTGATTTTCCTTATCTAACGGTCTTAGAAAGGTGCCTATTATACAATATAAAATTCTTTTAGTTTTACACATATTTAAGATTGTTGGATGAGTGAAAATACATGATTAAGATTAACAATAAGAAATGAGAAGATATTTACTAAAAAAATAATGAGTTAATCCCAATCATCTATTTTCACTCATCCAACAGTTCTAAATTTGTGTAAAACTAATTTTTTTTATATTATATAAGTGGATAATATTATTGATATAATTATTTAGAGGATAATATTATTGATATTTGATTAAGCGTTGACAGATTGACATCCATACTTTATCAAAATCTTTATTATTTATTATTTTTATTTATTTAGTTTTTATATATTTTAATTTTTTTGTATAATTTTATTTTTATAAAATTTACTATTTCTCTAATGAAATTTATAGATGTTTTTTTACTCTTGTAACATGTTTTTCCTACTCTTGTAAGACATTATTTTCTATTTTTTTTTTCATAATTAGAATTTGATATCGTCTTTCTATTGATTTTCTTATATTGATGGACGCTCATAATCATTAAAGATAAGTCACAAATGAGTTGTGATAAAATCAGTTTGTTTTCATTGTTATATGCATTTTTATACTAGTGTTGATAATGTTTATAATTCTTCGTCGACATTAGTGTTTTTTATATCTATCATTTTCTCGAGTTATTTAGTTAAATTTTTAATTATTTTTCACATACTCTTACTCTACTCTTTAATAGGTAATTTGTATATTTTGATGATTTTAGAAAGACTATCGTTAATGTGATTGATCTACTTTAATTTTATAGATTCTTCTTCTTGTAATTTTAATTCATTTTTTGTTCAATAAAATTAGTGCATAGGACATCCGCCTATGCATAGGACAGACGTCATCTTGTTAGAAAGTCACCAAATTTGTTGACATGCGCCTATTGATAATTAAATATTATCAAATTAAAATCAGATTGGATTAAAGATTGTTCTGTAGCGTGACAGTCTAATTTAAGACGATTTCAATCTCCACTGAACATTGTTTGATCATCACTGAAGATTAATGGGGATTCTGGTACTATAAATTTAAAAGAAGTTTATTTAATCAGCACAGAATTCTTATACAAGTTGAGCTCACTCTGCCATGGCTGATGTTTCTTGCATCTGAAGAACAAACTCGAGGTTCCACAAGACATCGCCCATGTGAGGGTGCTGGATTCCCTGATCGGACAGGCACTTCACTGCCGTGTCTGCAAATTTCTTTAGGCATTCTGGTTTTATTTTCTCTTTTCCCTTTCAAATGAGGATCGATGATCTCTTCCAGTGTTCCTTTCTTGTGACAATGGCGTGCCCAATCTGCAAGACTAACTTGTTCCTTTGGGAGTTTGGGGTTCAGAGCTGGTCTAGCGCATAACGCCTTGAATAGGACGACACCGAAGGAGTAAACATCGGATTTCTTGGTGAGTTATTGTCTTCGGAAGTATTCGGGGTCGAGGTAACCGAAGCTACCTTTCACGACTGTACTTACATGGCCTTGATTCATTTCGGGACCGGCTTTCGACAGCCCAAAATCGGAAACTTTGGCAACCCATTTTTCATCCAAGAGAATGTTTGTTGTCTTTACATCCCTGTGAATGATGGTGTACTTAGCTCCTGTGTGGAGATAGTGAAATCCCCTTGCTGCTCCAATGCAGATTTCCAACCTTTGTTTCCATGAAAGATGAGCTTCCTTGTTGTTGTAAAGGTGTTCCCTGAAAGTTCCAAGAGCCATGTAGTCATAAACCAAGCACATTTCGCCACCATCCTCGCAGAAACCGATCAACGAGACCAAATGCTTGTGTCTCAGCTTCGAAAGCATCTCGACTTCGGTTTGGAACTCGTTAATACCTTGTTCGGATGACGAATTAGATCGTTTGATAGCCACTTTGGCGCCTCCGGCGATAACTCCTTTGTACACGTTACCGAAGCCTCCGACTCCAATGACATTAGAGTCGTTGAAGTTCTTCGTGGCTTGTCTGATTTCCGATATGGAGAAATGGCGAGAAAGGCCTTGAGCCAATGTCAAAGCGTAGCTACTATGACTCTTTCCATCTTTGCTTCCATTTGAATGGGAGTTCCCACGAATCGGTAGCCAGCTAGACGTATGCGACTCGACCTCGCCAGCTTGTTTCCTCTTTCTGGAGGTGAAAACCGTCACCGCAACCAGCACAAAAGCTGCTGCAGCACCACCTGCAATCACAACACTATTGTCGGATTCGGTGTTGAAAGACCTCTCCTGCTCTGTCACCGCTTTAAAAAACATGGACGACGGTTTCGGATTGCGTCCGGCAAAGTTCTTGTTCCCGTCATTCAACTTGAATATTTCAACTCCGTTGAGTAGAGAATCATAGAACTGCGGTTTCATCTCGACCGCCGGAGTCATTTGTATCCAAATCGTTGCATCACCTGGACCATCAGTAACAAGTACTGCATAATCTTTGTAAATTGGAACACCCTTTTTACGTGTCCAGTCATATCAACTGGATGTTGTCATATATGAACTCACAGAAATGTAATCTTACAATGCATGTGGAATTGGCATCAACCTGAAAAATCCATGTCAGGTTAAACTTTGAGTTCAGCCCTGCCTCTTCTTCCATTGATCTAGCCGTCGGATAAACATCTTCGGGAGCCGAAGAACGCGACAACTTTCCGTAATCGATCTTTAAATCTTTATCCGCCTAAGCACAAATACCCAATGTAGAACAAAAAATGTATGGGTCATCATTATACCAAATCTTATACAGGCCACCAGAATCTTTACTAGGAGGAATAGTCTGCCCACAAACATTCAGCCTGAACAACGCCTGGAAATTCTCGAGCGAAACGTCGATTTCCGATTGAGATCCCATTCCAAACATAGCTGTCATGCCGAACAGGTTCGGCATGGTGATCAATTCGATCCCGTTTACGAACGCAAAAGAGTTGGTGTAGTTAGTAGAAGGTGTGAAGGTAATGGGTAAAACCTCAGAATCCAAAGGTGCCGTGCCAATGAATACTCTAACCAGATAAGCCTGTGTAAGTGCTTTACATGTGATTTCAGCACTGAAATTCTTCATCAGGGTGACTTCCCCAGCAGTCACTGAGAAATATGAATTGCTGATGTTGAAGTTGGAGTAAGCTGAAGGGTAAAAATGAAACCTGATCAGATAATGTTCCTTCGATTTTATCGGGAACTCATATGTCGCCGGCGACGTGAAGATCCGAGCATTCATGTATGGGATTTTCGAAAGAAGTGCAGGGTCTTGATATCCAGCTTGAACCAGGGTTGAACCATTGGATGATTTAAGGTACTTCCCATCTGGTTCCCAGTTTCTTCCATCTTCGTCTTTCCCACCTTTGGAATTACAGTTCAAAGCCAATGGCTGGCTTGAAACAAGAACAAAGGCATTGAAAATGAGACAAAACCAAACAACAGATAGCCAAGAATGCTGTCCTTCTTTTATGGTGTTAGAAAATGGCAAGAAGAAAAAAATCAAAGATCAAAAGACAAATCTTTGATCTTCTCCTTATGCCCTAACCTAGTTTGATTCTCTCTTGCATTTTCTGGATGTTGATTACATGAAATAATCTCTATTCTTCCATGGAAACACAAACATTTGCAGGAAGTTGAACATTCTTACAAAAAAGAAAACAGAAAAGAACCCTAAATTTACTTGACTCTGTTGGATATAATGCTTTTTTAGTCATCTGGTATCAAAATGTATTATTCTGTTGGTAAATTTACTTTTTTTATCAACAAATTTACTTGATTCTGTTGAACATGATGTTTTTTTTTAGTTACCTGGTATCAATCTGTTGCTAGTTAGAACAGAATCTTGTAGTAAAATACAGTGCAACAGACATGGAAGAACTTTAGTCCAAATTTAACATTGTGGAGGTTGCAACCAACAGCTACAAATGGATGGTTGGAATCTTCCTTAACGAATTCCATTCTTCTCGTTCATCCATTAAAGCCTTTCGAATCTTCTCCCAAAAATTTGGAAAGAAACAAAAACACAGAACTTGCAATATACCACAACCCCATCCCTTCACTTTTATCTTCTTCTTTGTTTTTGCTCGGCCGCATTAGCTCGGGTCGCTTCTGCGGCCGGTTAGAGGGTGACAAAACAAGCTTCTGTTCACGTTCACGTTCAGTTCGATTACCGGCAAGAAACAAGAAGCGCTTTGTTTTTTTAGTGGTATGTCCGGTGTTCCCATTGGTACAGATAAGAGAATCGGTTCAAAACTTGTATTTCCTTTTGAGAGAAAACAACGTTTGTTTTTAACAAAAGGAAATGGTGGACAGAAAGCTTAGAAGCGAGGCCATCACATCGTCATCGTCATCATCTTCATTGTCGACGTCGTTATGCGACTCGGACGCGGAAGATTTGGAACTCATGTCGTTGGTGCCGTCACCGTTGATGAAGAACAAGAGATATCTGTCGAAGCAGTTATCGATGGTCGAGACGTCCCAGGACATTGCTTGGGAAAGAAGGCGCCTCCAGATTCTTCGTCAAGAAAGAGAACAGAATGGGATTAGTGATAATAATAGATTGACTGATGAAGACCTGCATGAACTTAAAGGGTGCATAGAGCTCGGATTCGGATTCAAGGAAGAAGAAGGTCAAAAACTAACGAGCACACTGCCCGCTTTAGACCTTTATTTCGCCGTAAACCGCCAGCTTTCCCCGAGTCCGGTTTCGACCCCTCATAGCCAAAGTTCGTCGTCAACATTATCACTCGGTGATCGGTCTTCTTCTTTCGGAAGTCCTCGAAGTGAGTCGGATTGGAAGATTTGTAGCCCAGGTAATTCTTCAATGCCCAAACACACATAAACAACCTCTGCATAAATACATATATATATATATATATATATATATATATATATATATATATATATATATATAGTATAAGAAATGTTGTGCCATTTGTGCTTTGCAGGGGAAGATCCTCAGCTAGTGAAGACAAAGCTAAGGCATTGGGCTCAGGCGGTGGCATGTTCTGTGATGCAATCATATTAAAAAGTGTTGGGGTGGGGTTGTTTGCATAGAGGCGGAAGAAAAAGGTAAGAGCAGATGTAATATTTTATGCCGGAACGAAAATATATTATCAACAGAAAATACATAAAAACTAACTCATTCGCTCTCTCGGTCCTCAGGGGCGGGGAAGCAAAGGAGAGAGATTATAGAGTCAGAGAAGATGAGAGTAAATCAGATTGGATTCATTTCGCTGGTTTAGGGTTCTTTCGTTGATTTAAACCAGAAGATGTAACAGGAAGGAGAATGGTGAAGCATTTCGAGGTTTTGAGCCATGGAAATTCTTCCAAATTTTTGTAGAACAACACCAGGCCATGTTCGGCCCTGGAAAGATTAAAAATATGAACTGCTGGATTGTTATCATTAGTTGAAATAATAACTTTAGATCTCTTTGGGTTCTTCTATCATATTTGTTTTAGGCTTAAATATATAAAATGTGTCTAACGTATGCCTGTTTTTTCAATTCAGTGTCTAACATTTTTTTTGTTTTAGTTTGGTGCCTAACATTACATTCCGTAACTTAAAATAGGTCACGCCGTGACATAACGTTAAATTTTGTCTTTAACCCATTAAAAATGTCACGTGACATATTTTTTAATATTAAAAAATCTTTCTCTTCTTCTTCTTTTTCTCCTTTATCGTCTCAGGCTTGGGTTTCCAGTTATGAAACGACGAATCGAAGAGCAACACGTATTGTTTCTGCAATTGAGGCGTCGTGCACACTCTACTTGAGTAACTCTCTTCGACGCCGTCTTTCATTTTACTTTCTTCCATCAACTCGCATATAAACTCATCAGAAACTCGTATTCTCAAACACCCGGATTCACTCTTTTCGACGTGGAGATTTGCACAACAACAGCTTAGGGAAGCAAAAGTGAACACGAGAAGGAGGAAGAAGAAGAGGAAGAGAAATACTACAACCGCAGCCGCCGCAACGAGCAGCAAAGCTCATCATGGAACAACCTTCTATGCGCCTTCGAAAGTGAATTCCTCGGCCACAACTACTTTCTTTTTCCCCAACGCTCGATACTCGTCTCCTCGGTTGGACACCTTTTGTATATTTAAGCCAAACAAGACTTAAATATACAAAAAGTGATATCATCGCATTGCCGGCGGTCCGTAAAGGAGATATCATCGCATTGTCGACGGGCGTCGTTCAGAAAAATGTGATTTTTTTAGATTCATTTAGGGATTAGGGAAATATAGCCCCGAGTGACAGGTGAAGCGAAATGGTTTGTCCATTTAAAAGTTAAGGATATAAAAATTCACAGCTTTATTCATCCACTTTGTGTGGTTCCCTCATGGTCACCTATACACCATTGCTTACAACATACATCACCGGGCACTGTTTGCCACTTCCATTAACATTTGTGTAAACATAATATAAATCTACCCTTAATTTTCTTGGGTCTTCCTCTTTGATCCATTTGATTACAAAGAAATGGCCTCCACAGCAGTTTGCAGCAGTGTTGCCTAAGGCAACTTTCAAAGGTTCAAACAAAGTTCAATTATTCACAGATTTTGGTAAGTTTCCAGTTACGTTGATAATTTGTTTTCGTCTTTTAAAATTTTATAACTTCGTTCTCTGACATAAAATCATATATATTTAGTTTTTGACTTTGTTATGCATGGTCTTGTATGTTTAGGATTGCCTGTTATGGCTACAAAGGGTAAAGTTAGGTGCAGTTTAGAGCATAAGCCATCTTCAAACGAGCTGAACATGCACCCCAGCATGGTCGCATCGATGATGACGGCAGTAGCAGCGGTGATGACCGTGGCTGCGACGGCTACGGCAATGGTGAATGATAGATTGTCCACGGAAGGAATAGGACTTCCTTTTGGTTTAAGTAACAACCTGTTGGGATGGATCCTATTTGGAGTGTTTGGTTTGGTTTGGGCATTGTATTTTATCTATGTTTCTAGTCTTGAAGAGGATGACGAGTCTGGTTTGTCCCTTTGATGAATGATCAAAACAAAATATTAGTGGGAGACTCACCCACCAAAATCAGGTGTTCGGTGCGAGTCGGTCTGAATTAGTTAAGGTGAAACCTTAGAACCGGAAGGACAATAAAAAAGAAAACAAAATGTTGGGCTCGTGATTTTTATTGTTTTCGTTTCTTACTAAATTGTGCTTTAAATATTTTATGAAAGTAACAAATATGGGCTTTAAAATTATGATCAAAGCTATGAACCATGACAAGAATGTTGAAAATTAAAAAAAAAAGAACAAGTTGGGCTGCTAAAAAAAATGGGGAATGTGGTTTTTAGTCCCTTTGCACTTTAGGGTTAATTACAAGTTTAGTCCTAAGTTTCAACTATAAATACCCTAGCTCATTTAGCTTCAAAATCATCCAAAAACATTTCTTTCTTCCTATACTAGAGAGTTTTCTTGTGAGTAGTGAGTGTTTTGTAAACACCTGTAAAATTTCTCTCTTAGTAAAAGATCTGCAACAGCCGGAGACGTAAGCACAATTGGCTGAACTCCGTTATCAATTTTTTGGGTATTATTTTTCCGCTTTTATTTCGCATTCTCACTAATCTGGTTATAGGGAAATTACTTATACTCGGTTTATTTCCTAACAACTGGTATCAGAGCGCATGAAAAGAACTCTGAATGAACGTGCCAGAAGCATGAGGATACATGCCGGATTGCCCAAATTTCTATGGGCTGAAGCTATCAACACTGCAGCTTACCTGATCAACCGTGGGCCATCAGTTCCTTTGGATGGTGGAATACCAGAGGAAGCTTGGAGCAAGAAAGATATACGTGGGCCATCAGTTCCTTTGGATGGTGGAATACCAGAGGAAGCTTGGAGCAAGAAAGATATAAACCTTTCACACTTAAGAGTGTTTGGTTGTATTTCTTATGTACACATAAACTCTGCTGAAAGAAGCAAACTTGATGCTAAGTCCAACAAATGTGCCTTTGTTGGTTATGACGGTGATGAGTTCGGTTATCAGTTTTGGGACTACGAAAATCGGAAGATCATCAGAAGCAGAGACGTCATTTTCAATGAGAATGTGATGTACAAAGACAGGTCAACCGTAGAATCAAGTAGCTCCAACATCGAAACTGAAACAAAGGAATTTGCTGAGTTCGAGGAGATTTCTGGAAATGAAGTTCAGATCAGTCCTGAAGCAGTTCAAGAAGAACCATGCACACCGGAACTAAGACGCTCCTCCAGAATTCCTAAACCAACCCAACGGTATTCTCCTTCTTTGCACTACTTATTGTTGACTGACAATGGTGAACCATAGTGCTATGATGAAGCAATGCAAGTGGAGGATTCAATCAAGTGGGAGTCTTCCATGAAAGATGAGATGGACTCGCTTTTGTCAAATTAGACGTGGGAATTAGCTGAATTACCACCAGGCAAGAAAGTGCTTCACAACAAGTGGATTTACAGGATCAAAGAAGAGCACGATGGGAGCAAACGCTACAAAGCGAGATTGGTTGTCAAAGGTTTTCAGCAAAAAGAAGGTATTGACTACAATGAAATTTTCTCTCCAGTCGTGAAACTGTCTACTATCAGACTGGTGTTGAAATTGTAGCTGTAGAGAATTTACAACTTGAGCAGTTAGATGTAAAGACAACTTTCCTTCATGGTGATTTGGAGGAAGAAATCTATATGAGGCAGCCAGAAGACTTCATAGAGGCGGACAAGAAAAACCTGGTATGCAGGTTGAAGAAGAGCTTGTATGGTTTAAAACAAGCTCCTAGACAGTGGTACAAGAAGTTCGATAGTTTCATGAGTAGCAGTGGTTTACCAGATGCCAAGCAGATCATTGTTGCTACATCAAGAGGTTCGACAATAGCTTCATTATTTTATTGTTGTACGTTGATGACATGCTCGTTGCAGGCTCAGATATGCAAGAGATATAACTTGAAGAAAAAATTGTCAAAGCAGTTTGCTATGAAGGATCTGGGCGCTGCAAAGCATTTCTTGGGATGAGGATCAAGAGAGACACAAAGTCAGGGACTTTGATATTATCACAGCTGAGTACATCACAAAGTACTCTCCAGGTTCAACATGCAAGATGCTAACCAGTAAGTACACCTTAGGTTTCATTTCAGACTCTCCAAAGAACAATCACCAAATACGGAGGAAGAACGTGCACACATGGTGAAGGTGCCGTACGCCTCAGTAATTGGAAGTCTGATGTATGCCATGGTTTGTACCAGACCAGATATTGCTCATGCAGTGGGAGTTGTTAGCAGGTACATGAATAATCGGGAAAGGTACACTGGGAAGAAGTCAATGGATCCTCAGATATCTGCGGGTACCACAGACAAAGCACTTTGTTTCAAAGGTGGAGATACAATACTGACAGGCTATGTAGATGCTGACTTAGCCGGAAATGTTGACATCAGAAGGAGCACTACAGGGTTGTCTATACTCTAAGCACACATGGTGAAGGTGCCGTACGCCTCAGCAATTGGAAGTCTGATGTATGCCATGTTTTGTACCAGACCAGATATTGCTCATGCAGTGGGAGTTGTTAGCAGGTACATGAATAATCCGGAAAGGTACACTGGGAAGAAGTCAAATGGATCCTCAGATATCTGCGGGGTACCACAGACAAAGCACTTTGTTTCAAAGGTGGAGATACAATACTGACAGGCTATGTAGATGCTGACTTAGCCGGAAATGTTGACATCAGAAGGAGCACTACAGGGTATGTCTATACTCTAGGAGGAACTGCAGTGAGCTGGGTTTCTCAACTACAGAAGATAGTTGCTCTCTCCACAACTGAAGCAGAATATGTCGCTGTTACGGAAGCCAGCAGGAGATGGTCTGGCTCCAAAGTTTCTTGGAAGATTAGGCAAGAAACAAGAAAACAATGTCTTGTATTGCGACAGTCAAAGTGCTATCCATCTAGCAAAGAATCCGTCTTTTCATTCCAGGACGAAGCACATACAATTGAGATATCATTTTATCCGGTCTCTTCTAGAAGATGGAATTTTGAAACTTGAAAAGATCAGTGGAGCTCAAAATCCGGCAGATATGTTGACAAAGATGGTGACCACGGACAAACTGAAGTTGTGTTCAGCTTCAGTTGGCATGCTAGAATAACAATACCAGAAATGCTGCTGCATCGATCGAGGTAAGACGGATTAAAATCAGTCTTCAAGTGGGAGATTGTTGAAAATTAAAAAAAAAAGAACAAGTTGGGCTGCTAAGTAGCAGCCGGCTGCTAAAACAAAATGGGGAATGTGGTTTTTAGTCCATTTGCACTTTAGGGTTAATTACAAGTTTAGTCCTAAGTTTCAACTATAAATACCCTAGCTCATTTAGCTTTAAAATCATCCAAAAACATTTCTTTCTTCCTATACTAGAGAGTTTTCTTGTGAGTAGTGAGTGTTTTGTAAACACCTGTAAAATTTCTCTCTTAGTAAAAGATCTGCAGCAGCCGGAGACGTAAGCACAATTGGCTGAACTCTGTTATCAATTTTTCGGGTATTATTTTTCCACTTTTATTTCGCATTCTCACTAATATGGTTATAGGGAAATTACGTGTACTCGGTTTATTTCCTAACAAAGAATACCATGGAAGACGCTTTGATTTGCCACATATTCCTCCACCATGGTGGTTTTCATTTCACCTTAGTTAGTTATATGCCCTATATTGCATGCATATAACACGATCACGAGTCGAAAACCATCTTATTGTTATTTGTTCGAACATGTAAAGATGTTTCAATGTTCATACCAAAAACACTACAAATAGGATTATTGATCATTCCTCTCTAGTACATATACCTCATTAGTAAGTATCTTACCTTTTTTTTTATATAAATACGGGCGAGTACAAGGTAATATATGTTTAAAGATTCTCAACTATTTAACAATGAATGTTCATACCCCTTGCATATGCGGTGCTTGAATATGAGACCTCATGGGATAACACAAATCTTTTAATAACTGGGACTACTTGGTTCATACAAGTAGCTTACCTTGAATTGTTAACTAGAGGAAAATTCTTATCCATTGTGGTAAGGGGCAGACCCATGGTTTTATGCGAAGAGATGGACTTCTAAATTTTTAGGAGGGGATGAACTTTTAAAATTTAAGGAGCGAAAATAAATTATCAATAAAATTATATCTAAAATATATGATAATTTAAAATTTTCAAGCGACTACTGCCCCAACCCCTTGGTCCATCCCTCGTTGTGTTCCGAAAAGCTTCCAAGATAAGTTCTAATGTTGTCTTAGGATCCCCATTTATCTACATGCATGCTTTGTATGATGATGCAGCTAAGAATTTTGCATCTGTTTTCGGGGTATAAATGAACCAATTTGAACGAATAAGGTTATGTCTGTGTTCGTTTGTTTATTTTTGAAAGTGTTCATATTATGTTCGTGTTCATTTAAATTTTAATATTGTATTCATGTTCGTTTATCTATTTTTGAAAGTGTTCGTATTTATTTATTGTTCACAAATATTTCCGTTTATATGTTCATGAACGTGTTTATTTAGTGTTTATGAACATGTTTGTTTAGATTTCATTTAGTGTTCATTTATATACTCAATTTTTGGGTTTACATTTTCATCTGCAAGCTAAAAAATAGTAAAATTAAACCACTAGTGTTTAAATTCCTTAAAATTCACAGTTTAAATTTTAACTTTTACAATGTGTTTACTTTAGTTTTTACCTTTATCAATATTTAAAATGTAAAAAAATAAAAGGAAAAAGAGAACCATATAAACAAACTTGTTCATGAATATAACGAACGAGTCAATAAAAAGAGCTTGTAAGTAAACATAAACGAATCGAACACACTTATGTTCGTATTCGTTTGTTATGAACATAATTTTTTTGTTCATACTCATTTATTTAACTCAACAAACAAATATAAACAAACATTATAGGAATAGTTCATGAACAATTCATCGAACGCTCTGTTCATTTACACCCCTATATTTTTCCCATCGTCGAGAATAGTTATTTTGTCTTTAAG